CCCCAAAACCCCAAAACCCCAAAACCCCAAAACCCCAGCTCCAAGCTTTCGGATATAAAATAATTCCACTCCCTTACCAATGGTAAAGACAAAGGATGGAAAAGTCTCGCGCAGGAAGCTCAAGGTTGAACTTGAAGAGACTCAGACCCAGCCTGATGTACCAGTCTCATGGAAGATATTCCATGTAATTTTCCCTGTATTATAGTAGGAGGGTTCACATTACAGACAGTAGAGCATAAGGTTTGGTTCTGGGCTTTTTACTTAGTAAACTGATTCATATACCTGATTGTCGTCCTTGATTTCACGCCATATTATACCAAAGCTTTGGACAGAGTCAAGCATGGCTTCTGGAAAGCCATTGAACAGAGACAGGTAGTGAAGATCACCTATATCTTTGGTATCTTCTTCTTTTGTATCAATATGATATCCGGATACGTAAACAGAGTGAGGAAAAAGTGTATGATAAATGACGAATTTTCAGGAGATTATTTCCACGCAAATTCTTTTATGGCGTCCTAAGATGTGCTCTCTGTTGGTAAGACAGCAGTCTAAAGCATAGTGCTACCTGCCTTACTGATATCTGTGATTTATACAACTTGTGAAGAGGTCTACTGGAGATTATTTACAGTAGAAGTTATCTCAGATGGAAAAGACCAGAAATCACAGAAGTAGAGTTTTTATCACTTATGTTTAGATATCTGTGGATCTCATCGATCGGCTTTAGCCTTCAGAATTACTGGGTCGTGCATCACTTTGAGGATTTTAATAAACGACCTAGTGGGGAGTTGAACTTCATGATCTTTAGCTGCTTGATAGGTGCCTTTCTACATTGGCAAAAGAATAGAGGATATATTCTTAATGCTTGGATAATACATTTTCTGTTTAGGTTTGCTTAAATTATTAGTGTATATCTAGGAGATTTGCAGGATCAGCAGGAAAGATTATAAAAATACAGAGTAAACACCAGCAATACTATTCAACCCTAAAACTCCTTTTTAATCAATCTTAAAATCAAATATTTCAAATTTTGATTTTATTTTAGGGGTTTTGGGGTTTTGGGGTTTTGGGG